ATTTGCTCGGCGTACTACTTCATCAATGTCACTACAAAATGTAAAGCAAGATAACAAATACAATGTTTGACTGAAAGTCAGTCTGAGATATGCAGACTCTTGGGCCTTAAATTTAACCGATTGAAAAGCATGATGAATTGTAATGAAATTTTAATTCATGCAATTTTAATTCATCGTAGTGTGATGAAATTTTAATTTATCGTAGTGTGAAGGCAGCAGATGACTAAATGAAGCCGAAGCACCCTGGCAGCTCCAGTATGACAAAACATAGCGAGCCACATCTTGTGCAATAAAGTTCAGGCAATTTGGACCACGCTCAGCTAGAAGTAATGTTCAGGAAGTCAGACAGGGAAAAACGCAAAATGTATTTTGTAAGATTAAATATGGCGGATAGCATTAAATGAAGCAATGAAAAAACAATCCTCGCAACCCTGCGTGCTTTTTGGTTTAGTATGTGCAGGTAGATCAACAAGCAAAGGAGGAAAGAATTCTGAGGATCCAGGTGATCCAACGATGCTACCATGGAATGGTCTGGACCTCTTAATAAGCAGCTTTAATTGCAAGCCACTATTGAGCAATGAATTCACGAGTGAAAAAACACCATCTGACGTTCTCAGTCTGTAAGCACAGCGAGGAATCGCTCTTTGGAATCTGGAAAAAAGAATTTAGCTCAGCATAGGACAGATTGATGTCGGAATTGGATTTATTATCAACAGAAGATCACCTATTGTTAGTTTCACTTATCACAAACCATTGTATTCCTGCTCGGCTAGATTTTTGTAAAATCCTCAACAATGTCCGAGTCTGCGCTTCCACCAAGGCCAGCGATGATGAAGAGATGGCATAGTTCTTCACCACGCTCGAATCATCAACAGCCATTATGAGAGATTTTGACAGTATGACAGGAATTATAGATTTAGCAGCGATGGTGTATAGGCAAAAACTGTTTGCTGGCAATAATTTGTTTTTAAAAGATTCAAGGTGAAGGTAGTCTGGTACGTTCCAGATATAAAAATGAAGGAAATCGGCTACCACTTCCTCAGTGATGTCCCCATAATGCTTTCGGTCAAAATGTGGAAACCATCACACTTGTTGCTAACAGGAATACATATTATCTCGGTTTATAAAAAAAAGATATTGGACACGGCAAGTCGGCGTAATAATCAGTCGGGAGGAGGTGGAAGAAGTCACATCAACCGAGATTGCATGCTTCATTGACAACCTTCCCAAGTGTCTAAAAAGAGACGAATGCGCCTAATCCGACGGTCAAATTT